GGGTGGGGCGGGGCGCAGAGGACCTCACACTGCCCACTCTCCCTTCTAGACTCTGATGGTGCTACTAAGGTGAAGGAACAGTACACTAGACTGTACTAGGAATTTGCTTCCAATAAAACACGTGTCTCACCTGGGGTGAGACACTACTGAAACCGCTCAAATTCATTATGATGCATCGCTGTAAATTGCTTCAAACCCCAGTCCTGGACCCACCTTTCTCAGTTCCACACTTATCTAATCCAGGGACGTAATTATCTCTACCAAACACACCAGCCAGGACCTTCCTGTCCCCGGCTCACCTTGTCCCTCAGGTGATGCTCGGCAGCCTCGATATTCAGTGGGTCATCAAAGTTCAGGAGATCCTTAAAGAGAGAAAGGCCACGTGAGCAGGAGCAGCGTCAGTCTGTCTCTGCTGCGGAAAGGCTCATGCTATGAACCAGGCCACTGAAACCAACCAGCAAACTGGGGAAGGAAAGCCCGGGAGCTGAGGCGCCCCTAGGAGGCTCTTCTGACAGGAGAGCTCAACGTGTGCCCTGCTCAAAACGGTGATGAAGGGTTGACAGGAAGTGGGGTGACATTTACATGTAACTGTCCAGTTTGGTCAAAATGGAGCAACAGCAGTGCCATTAACTTCTAATGCTATTAGGTAACTGGAGAATTGAAAACCACGCACTGTGAGCTTTCCAAACCAAAGTCCCATTATACTCTCTTTCCTTCATTTTGTGATGAACTGTGCCCGCCTGTGTAAGCCCGTGCTCTCCAGTCTGGCCTTAACTGGTTTCCCTTTATCTTCTAACTCACCCTCACAAGCATCGCTCACCGTAAGGGACGTCTGGAACCCAGCTGCACACAGGGCGGGGCCATTAGCCTGGTGTCCCCTGGCCTGGGGGTGGGGACACCAGCCCCTTTCTGCCTAAGAAAGGCTCTGGGATGGCTACTCCCCCTCCCCACAAGAAACACCAGGGATTTCCAGGGGAGGCCACGTCTGATCTTTATACTGTGTGCTCCTCCTATTAAAAACCACGAGGTAAGGTTTGTCCTATAACAAGTCCCCACTTTCCAAAGCCACAGATGGACCATTGTAAAGACCATATTTCTCCTCAGGGCAAATGCTAAATTTAGGGACTATATTCCTGATTTGGAAGTAAATATGGGTATGACAAAGAAAATATAACAAAGAAATACTGTAAATCTCTGGTCATGTACAATTGGGAAATTAGACTCCAAGTCCTGGAAGTAGGTAGAAATATAAAGTACATCTCAGACAAGACAAAGGCCACACCAGACACAGACTCCCTCGTCTTTACCTCACCCCTGACTAGTGAATGCACTGGCTGGGATAACCGTCACAGACTTAATTAGCAATCTGGATGGGTTCTTTAGACTCTGGGAGGTTTGTAGCACTTGTAGGGACGATGACTACACCAGATTTCTTAAAGTAAATAAATAAAAATGCCAAGGAGCCCGCGCTTATTTCCTTCCCCTAATTCCCTGCAGTCCTCGGTCAGAGCCAGTTCAGGCTCAGGGAAACAGGACTGGTTTCAGGACAGTTCCATTGTGATGGCAGATGGTAATGCAGTGTGGGCCCCTGGAAGGGCCCGAGGTGGGCCTGTGCCCTCTGGTTGTGATAGAGGTGTGGCTGCCAGGCGGTTTTAACATCAGGCCCCGCAGCTCCCAAAGTTACACTTCATTCACTTACATGAAAAAGCCAAAAACAGAATCACAGCAAAACGCCCAGGACCAGCAGGAAACCGTACAGATTCTTGGTCCCCTCGGTATTACCTCCCATGGAGATTAAGGGAGGCCCCATATCAGCAAGCAGTGGTTAGCTGCTTTGTTCCAGTTGTCACCTGGTGACATCAGCTCAAAAGGCAAAGGGAGGTGGGGACCTGGAGTCTAATTTTGAGGCTCTGCTGTTCTTTATTTTGCTGAAGACAACAAGCAGCCTATGGCCTCCGATGACAGGATGAGGCCAGCAGCCCCACCTCAGGGTGATGAGCTGGGCTGGTGCAGGTGCATCGCTGCAGGCCAGGAAGCTGTCCCTCCAACAGCCACTGTCCTGTGGGCTGTCCGGATGGGCTCATTTGCAAGGAGGGACCTTAGGTTTTACCAACAGTAGCAGAGTTTTTTCCTCCAAATAAGTTGATTTCTTCTAAAGCTCTTTTATGACTCCAAACTCCAAGAAACACATACTACTATATGAAAACTCCAAATTGCAGCTTTTGGCTGTGCCCATCTTAGCTTCTCCCCCTGCCCCCTCCTGCCCTGTGGCCCTGCTGTGATAAGCTGTTTCCTGAGGACAGTGAACTCCTTTGGCAGCTTGTCACTGGTAGAAGGTCTCAAAGGTTCTGGGTTTGTGAGAAGCCTCAAGGTGGGTGAGCACGCCCTCCTTCACCCAAACCAGCATACCAGGGAGCGAAAAGGGCTGTGGACAGGCCTATGAGAGCAGACAGCTGGGCTGCTGGAGGACCCACCCCCACGTGAGGGGAATGTGGCCACAGACCCAGCCTGGGGAATGGAGATGATCTGCTCCCACCCCGAGTCACCTCCCACGTGTCACTGCAAAGCCCCCCAGGGCCAATCTCACTAAAGTGTGACAGGAAAGGGGTCAGTGTGGACGTGGTGCTGTCTTCAGCCCTGTGTCACCCTTATGGGCTAATGCCAGCAGTCAGGGAACCACAGAAGCCTGGGGTTTTGGTCAATATACTTACAGTAAACAAAGAGTTTAATCCCCAAACAACATCCTGGAAAGAGGAAGAAAGAAGAAAACACAATTCAGGCTCTGTGCTCTCTATCTTTCAAATCCACAAGAAATATGTACTGGACCACATCAAAATTCATCTCAGTAGGCTCTGTGTTTCCCAAGCCAGAAATTAAAACGACTTTTCTCATAACCACAGACTCTGGGAAATGCAGATGAGTGCACAGGCAGTGAATGTAAAACCAGAGAACAGAAACGACCCCCTGGTGAGACCCAGGGTGACGATCCAGATCCTGGCTCGTGGTGACAGAGCCCCCAGGCAAGGTCTGCACAGGACACCCCGACCTCACAGCACCACTCACCTGTCACTCCCACCTAGAGTCCGGCCACCTTTAAAACTGTATTTTTGGCATCTGCTGTCTCTTGGGGATCGTAGATAAGCTAATCACCACTGAGTTTTAATAATTTTGCTCTAGTTACTTCGAAAATCAAGGGAGACTAATTTTTTTTTTAAATTCTAAGATCAGAAATTTTCATTAAAATACAACTGAAACCCACTTTCTCTCTGGACTGACTTGTGACGTGCGACTCAATCACTGACTCTTTCCGGGCCTTCCTCCTCACGGGCTCAAGGCCTCATGTCTCAGCACTCCTTTATGCTGAGTCTGGGGCCGATCCAAGTGCAGGCTGGGAACACAGCTGCCTGAACCCAGGACAAGGGCACGCGCTCCCTGGGCAGTGTCCACCCAACACAAGACAAGGCAAAGGCGATGATGGTTTGGAACCGTTTCATTAGTCAAAGAAAATGGACAGAGGCGCGCGCTGACCAGGCAAGCGCTGGGCGAGCAGCCCCCGGCAGGTGTGGGTGGTGGGGAGAGGAGGGGCAGGTGTGCCTGGCCACCTGCGTGCACAGGACAGAGAAGACATGGCTGTTCTTACAGGTGGTTGGTTACTGAAGAGAGGTCTCCAGGGCAAGGCTGGGGTCAAAGGCATCCTACCTTTAATGTCCTCGTGGGGGCCCAGCCAGTGCCGTCGATCGAATGTTCTCTCAGTAAACTGAAAGACAAAAGCAGCGTGGTCAGCAGGGAGCAGCCTCTGTCCCATGAGTGGCAGGTGCTCTGGGGACATGCAGTGTCTTCAGGAGAGCTCTTTTCCTGCACCTGTCTTGCTCTGTGGTCTCACAGTGACATTGGGAGCAATGGGCACTCAGAGGTTCCTGCTGTGTCACCTTGATCCTAAACCTACTTGATGCCTCAACCCCGAGAGGGAGGTGCTCCCATCTCCTGTCCTGTAGGGCAGCTCACTGGGAGCTGTAGGTTAGCGCCGATGGGAGCACCTGGCATACATTTTATTAGCTGCTTAAAAAGGAGCTCCAAAGGGAAAACCTAAGGATAAAGGCAGATTGATACCAAAGTCTGGACAATGCTCCCCGTGGGAGGACCCCATTCAGGGAAGGTCACAGGGTCAGAGGTCCCGTGAGGCCCTAGTTCTCAGCTGCACCCGATCTGTTTCCATTACTGTTTCAGCAACTGTGAATATGCTCCTCATGTGCACTTTGGAATTATTACCAAGGCTCCCTGTGGAAAACTAGTGTGGCACTGCTGAATCACAGCACGCTGCTGCCTGGCCAGGCCCTAGCAGCTCCCAGGGGACCAGCACCTTGGCACTTCCCGCCCTCCCCTCCTCCCCACTGGGGTTTGCAGTTGTGCCCAGCATCTGCCTGTCCCCAGGGTGCCCATCTTTCTCCTTTTCTTTTTCAGCTGTTTCTCAATCCTCACCTGAGGGTATGCTCTTACAGACTTCAGAGAAAGGGGGAGAGAGAGGGAGGGGGAGGGAGAGAGAGAAACTGACATGAGAGAAGCACCCATCCACTGCCTCCTGTGCATCTGGACCAGGGATCAAACCTGCCACCAGGTGTGGGCCTTGACCAGGAGTTGAACCCGTAACCGCTGGTAACTCGGGACAGTGCTCCCACCAACTGGGCCACCCGGCGAGGTCGGGGTGTCCACCTTTCATACTGACTGGTAAGGGCTGTCACAAACGATGTCATCCAGCTGCTCTTCGCTTTGGAGCCTGTGTTTTTGTATTTTTACCTTAACCTATCAATGATTTTCCTGCAAGGTTTCTGGCTTCTGTAGCAGGCCAGTGTTTGCTAAACTCCTGTCACTCTGCTAATAATCGACTTCTCAAAAGCCAGCAGGAGAAAGGAGAGGAATTCCCGCTGCAGACCTAGTCCTGGAGAGGATGGGGACCTGACACAGGAGACCCCGGGAGGAAGCTGGACCACACGCCACTCATCAGTTTTCAAGTCTCAACACTCAGGACAGATGTTTCAAAGGGAAGATGCCTCTAAACAGGTGCGATCACTCTTACAAAATGTACTTTAACTATAAAATAAGGCTGACCTGAAAAGAAGGCGCCATGTACAAAGTGGGAAAAGTGGTGCTAACTGCACCTGTAGAAGGGAAGGGGTCCTGCCATGCGAGCAGCTGGGAGGGGCACAGGCTGCACACTGCCTTCAGAGATGACGTGTTTGCCAGAGCAGGAGTGACACGAAAAGACGTTTTCCCGGATGTCATTAATGACACTTTTCCCTCTCAGCTAAAGTCAGCCCCATGCAGGGAATGTGGTCTCATTAAAACAGGGCAGGAAGTGGGTAGGGGCCCCCGAAGGGCAGGCGTCCTGGGCAGGTGGGCAGCTGTATGACACTGCACGGCACCAGCCAGCAAAGGGCACAGGAGGCCGTGGGTCTGGAGGCATCAGCCAGGGACTGAGTGCAGCCCTAAGCCCCAAGGTGGTCTCCCGATCCTCCCCATCTGGCCCTGCCTCAGAATCTCCCTTCAGAAAGTTCAAGGCTCACGCACAGCGCTCACAAATGCGGAAGACAGGGAAGAGAACTCACCTCAGACAGATCTCGCCCGTCTCTGTGATGTTGGGGTGCCAGATCCTGGTCAAACATCTCACTTTGGGTGGCTGCAAAGCAGAGAGAGAGGTCACAGGCCCTCTGAGCATGTCGCAGCCACAGTCTCACCATGTGCCCACCCGCCCTCGTTCCCTGCTCACTCGGCATCCCACCTCGACACTGGTTCGCATCACCCACGCGGGAAAGTGTTGTTTCCCTGCACCCTGAGTACCAGTCTTGCTGGTAAAGCACACTGTGCCCGACAGAACCCTCTACAAGCCCCAGGGCTTGACAGTGACTGGGCTGCTGGTTAGGCTGGCTGGGCTGTGAGGAGCCCCATGCACTGCAGGGAGGGGTTCTGCGGCCTCCTGTTTGACACCATCCAGAAGCCCAGATTCCTCTGCACAGAGCTGCTGAGCTGTGGCAGAAAGTCCTGTCCCCACAGGGGTGCCATTCCGAGTGTGTTCCTGAAGGTGCCACTGCCACCTTCCTAGGTGCTAGTCTGGTCCCTTTACTCACAGCAGGGAGAGAATGGAAGAAGGACCGGGAAATAAGCAGACCAATGGTGTTTATGATATGAAGTGTCGGTTAAAGTTGTTTTTGTGTGTTTTTTTTTTAATTGTTCAAAATATTACAGATGTCCCCTTTTCTCCCCCACTGACCCCTTCCCCCCCAGTCCCTCCCCACACAATTGTCTGTATCCTTGTATTCTGCAGAGATGCATATAAATTCTTTTGTTAATCTCCCCCTCCCCCCTCCTCTTTTCCTCTGATGCTTCCATGTCATTGAATCTATTCTGTTCATCAGTTTATTAAGTTCTTTAGATTCCACATATAAGCAAGATCATGTGATGTTTGTCTTTCTCTGCCTGGCTTATTTCACTTAGAATAATATTCTCCAGGTCCACCCATACTGTCCCAAAGCGTACAAGGTCCTCCTTCTTTTCAGGTGCGTAGTATTCCATGGTGTAAATGTCCCACAGCTTTTTCATCCACTCATCTACTGATGGGCACTTGGGCGGCTTCCAGATCTCAGCTATTGTAAATAATGCTGCTATGAACATAGGGGTGCGTGTATTCTTTCTGATTGGTGTTTCGGGATTCTTAGGGTATATTCCTAGAAGTGGGATCACTATAAAAGCAATCCGCACTCATTTAAGAAAAAAGACAACGAAAAAAGGAAAGATATATTTACATATATAACCCTGCCCAGAAATAATCTCCATCACCTCGATGTCCACTTTTGAACCTCTACCTGAGGCCACGCACAGATGTGCACAGTCACTTTCTGTATAGAAGTGGGGACATGTGCTATACATCTTTCCACACTTACTTTGTCACCATTTCAGATGGCTTTGGGCCTTCTCGCATTTCATCATACAACAGGAGCCTTTAACAAGCCAGTTCCCTATTCCTGGTCATTGAGGGTACTTCCTGTGTCTACTACACACCAGGCTGGGTCAGTGTCTTCCCTCAATCTGTAGACATATTTCCCCAGGATGAGGTCAGGGAGAGGAGCCGCTGGCCAGAGCACCAGATGTGGATACAGCACCAAGTGCCCCCACAGCAAGGGAGGCCCTTTCCCCAGGCCTAGATCCAAGGCGGGTCTCCTTGGTTTGACCACTAAGTGTCAACCCCTTGTCATAGAGGGGCAGCATTTTCCCTGTTTGTCACTGGCATTAATTTGTACTTATGATGTTAGCGTGAGGTGTAGAGGGCTTTTAAAAAATCTTTGTAATCAAATTTTTATCTTTGATACAACCTAGAAAGCATTTCACCATCCCCATAGTCTCCTGTACTTTTTCTATTACTCTAACAGCTGCACCTTTACTTGTATAAACATACTTTCTCAGCACCGTCATAAATTTTCTTCCTGATTTCAAAAACACCAAGACATCACAAAACTGAGAAATGATTCATCCAACTGGGTACTATTGGTGTCCCAGGGCTACAGATTTAGGTCCACAGTAAGTTTAAGTCAATTTAATATGCTCTAATCTGCTTTCTGGCACATGAATGGGAGTGCATTCGACAGAGAGATGCCAGTAGAACCTGCACTCCAGCAAGGCCTGCAGGCTGAGGCAGGGAGGCCAGCTGTGTAACTCTCTCTAGTAGGTAAGTGAGTACAGCTAACTAGTGGGCAACTGAGTATAGTTAACTAGCGAGTGAGCATAGTTAACAAGTGGGTAACTGAGAACAGTTAACTAGTGGGCAGACTGAGTACGGCTAACTAGTGAGTATAGTTAACAAGTGGGTAACTGAGTATAGTTAACTTGTGAGTAACTGAGTACAGTTAATTAGTGGGTAACTGACTATAGGTAACACCATGGGCAGACTGAATCACCGGCTCAGCACCTGAAGGAACCAACAGCTCTCTCCCTGCTTCCTTGGAGTCCCCAGCCGCACACTCACCCAGCCTGGTGCTGACCTCATGTCTAAGTGTCAGGCTGCACCTGCCCCCTCTTCTCCTTGTCCCTTCACACCTCCCACAGTCAAGATGTCGACACAGACGCTTCCTTGTCAGTGGCCCTCTTAAATCTCGGCATGAGAACCCTGGACCGGGATCCGGATATACTTTCCAAACTGAACTATTCCTGCAGACCCGCCAGCCCCAAAGAGAGACAAACAGGAAACAGCCAGCGCCACCCTCCATGCCCATGGCTGGCGCTGCCATCCATCCTTCACAGGGCTAAGAGTGTGATAAATGACAGCCACGCAGGGAAAGGGACTCTTCAGTGGGCAAGCAGCTGAGCGTTAGGGGAACACAGTGAGCCCCACTCAGCTCTGCTCCGAGGCAGTCAACACACACGTGAGAGCCACAGAGCACTGGAGGAAGTGGAGATGAGCTACGGGGTCAAGGCCTCTTTAAAGCATTTCACAACAAAAAAACTCATGAAGGAAAGGAGCCTGGACTGTAGTGATGAGGCAAAAAAAGAACTTTTACAGAACAGGAGATAAAAACAGGAAAATATCTACAGCACAGCTATGAAAACTAGAAGAAAGTTTCACATAATTTCTGTGTAAGAAAAACAAACACCCCGAAGGAACAAAGGTAAGCTCACAACAGCTCATAAAAACATGAGTTGCGAATACAATAGGAAAAATATTCAACATCCTACTTAAAAAATGAAAGTTCAAATGACAATGAGGAAATATTTCTTTCCTCCCAAAATGGCAAAAAGAAGTAATGAAAACGTGCCAACTTGATGAGGGCAGGGAAGGGGAATTTTCAGACACTACCGGAGAAGCTGCCAACTGGCCTAAGGTCCCCGGAGGGCAGGGCTGGGCTCTTGCTGCAGACGGCCGCTGTCCTCACAAGCACTTGTTCACAAAATGCCTCTCTACCAGGACTCCAAGACCACTGCTGGGTGACACCAGCCACACAGCGTCAGCCATTCCATGCTCCGTCCCAGGACTGGGTGTAACGGGACACAATGGGGGGGGGGTGCCACCCGGTGACGGCCACCTGGCCACGTGGAGGGAAACAGGCTGAGACGCAGGCTACTCACCACCATGTTGTACGCATCAGGAACTTCCGTTTCAAACTGAAATTTTCCACCCTGGTAGTAACCCTCATCTATCAAAAAACACAAAACAAAACAAAAAATCCTTTAAATTAAAAAAAAAAAGGAAACAAAAGCGACACCGTGTTAGGATTCAGCACACAGAGGGTTAAGCGCTCGTAAGAGGACTCGGGGTGCTTGTCAGGCCCTGCCCAGCCCGTTAGGACCCTGCTCCGCTCTGCCCGCCGCGGTCCCCACTCCGGGCCCAGCAGCCCCATCCTTCTGAAGACTGGCCCCCCTCAGTCTCCCAGAGCCCCACCTAAGCAGCCTGCTCTCACCTGCACCGCAGCACCCAGCATGTCCCCTCATCACACCTCACACAGGTAACCTCTTATGTTTAAGCTGTGTGGTCACCGTTTGCTGCTGGTCTCTCCACGAGAATGTCAGTTCCACGAGGTAGGAGGCTGCTGTACCCCCAGTGCCCAGCACACGGCTTCTGGCCATTTAACAAGGGTTCACTGAGGACAGACCCTGTGCGATGCACGCTCTGGCCCTGGGGACAGAGCTGTGAATCAGACAGAATTGCTGCCTCGCTAGTGTGCCAGTCAATAGCTGGGGGCTGGCAGGCATGCAGGAGGGGGTCCAGGGTTGAGCGGCACCACCACGCCACTCGCCAGGCCTGTAGACCCCACAGCACCGCGCCACCAGCTGCTCTGCCTCTTCTAGTCTGCCCGCAGGTGAGCCTGGTTCCCAGGTGCAAACGCTGCGGAGCTGCCGCCAGCAGAGGGCGCCCAGGACAAATGTGCAAGAGCCAGGAAATGCCCCCCAGCAATTAAACTCTACAATTTGACGAAATTAACGTCTTTAAAGTGAAGGTTCAACTTCCCCCAAATATTTCTCACCATGAACAAATCATCAATACATCCTACCACTCCCTCAGCTGTTTACATAAAATAAACATTTAGTAGTCTGCTGTTTGCCTTTTGATGTAGTTGTCCAACTAGCTTTCATTTAAGCCAGTCTTTCCTATGGTTTCTGTCTTTGGTATTACCTAAAAAAGGTCTTTCCCAACCAAGATTACAGAAGTATCTTATTTCTATATTTTCCCCTAGTAATCTTACGGTTTCATATATTTTATCAGCTCCTCCATTCACCCAGAATTTACTGCAGATAAGGTGGCATGTTTCTAACTGCCTGCCCACCCCCTCACAGCAGTCATCACTCTATCCTCCCCCCTATCTGACATGTCTATTTCTACTGCTTAGTGACTGAAGTATTAAGTAAGACTTTTAGAAAAGATATTTTTGGGAAAAGTTTAAACTTCAGATATAAGAACTTTGCAGATAAGTGGCATCGTAGGTATAAAATACTCAGATCAGAGTACTGTTCCCCAGAGGCTCTGTGGCCATTGGTCTCAGCTCTGACCCTGATCTGGGGGCTCTATGAACTGTGGCCACAGCTGGCTGACAGGCCTCTGCGCTGTCCTCTTGCTGACACTCAGGCTGCGTGGGCCAGCCCACCTGGTACTGCCGCTTCCTCTCCAGTGCATTAACTGCAGTTTGACTACTGCCCACCAGTTTCAAAGCAGATTTATTTGGTCTAAGTGGTTTTTTTACCATAGTCCTCTAGCCTAGCCAAGCTCTCAGTAACTGTCAGAATTACAGAATCTCTGAGCTCACTGAAAATAGAGCAGACTGTTCTAATTTTTCTATGTCATGGAGTAAGTCTCTTTCAGGAAAACAATCTGCTCCCAAGCCAGAACTTTCCCCCTCTAGGCTACACAGCTCTGGGCCCACTCTAGCCTACATTTGCCCAAAACCACCACAGCCCAACTTAAAAAGCAGCTGGGGAGCAGGCTGTAAAGAGCACCTCATTACAGACTTTCTCCAGGACTGGCTGATGCGTTCTCACCGACCCACCCTCTGGGCCTAGATGTCGAGTGTGGACCTCACAGGATGATGGAGTGGAAAAAGGCCTGTCCACTCCGGGCCAGTGGGCAGAGGGCTCCTTCAGAGCATCTGCAGCCCAGTGTGCACCGTGGCCCGGGGCACCGCATCCCAGCCTGTCCAACCATGTCCCTGTCTATGGCTGCTGCAACTGAAAACCACCTGCTTCCTGGACAACTGGGTGTTCAGTACAAGGGTGAGAGCAGTTGGGAAGCCCTTGGCACCGGCCCTCCATTGGCCGCCCCCCTCCTGTGCCTGGAGCCCACTCCCTCCTGCCTTCCAGGACCTGGGCACCAGTCTTCCAGCAGGTGATGGGATTTCCTGGGAGGACAGGCTGTCCCAGGAGCTTTCAGAGTCCACTTCTAGGTGGCTAGTGTCCATGCGCACTTGACCCTGACATGGATCTGCCAACAGTGCTCGGGATCAAGGTGTCATGCCAGCGATGTAGAGGTCCCTCCCCAGCGCCCCTTTCACAACTTTCATCGGGCTTGAGAATAAGGCCCACTTCTCAGTGTCCTGTCATTGTGAGACCAGAAGGGTGTGAAGCCCTGGTCATAGCCAGTTCCCTGACCTGAGGCAATACAGGAGGGCCCTGCTCTCCCTAATCACGCCCACTTCTGTGAAGGGCAAAGTGCCAAGTCATGGACAGATGTCCTGGTTCCTATTGGCTGCCCTGAATTCAGACACTGTGTGTGGGGCCTGCTGGCACGGATGGTCAACACTCCATTTAGGAACTTCTACCCTGGGACGAAGGAGATAGAACCATCACCCCATGAGAAGCAACAAGCAGCAGACGTGGGGCCTTTCCCCACCCAGGTGAACAGCTCCCGCCCACTAGGAATGAAATCCAGCAGTGAGACGCCCATCAGAGGCATCTCAGAACTGAGAAGGAAAGGCTTGGCCCGAGACAAAGGCTGGCGGTGATGGTTTGGCAATTAGAATGTCTGCCTGTTAATGTAAATGGCAGAAATCTTGACCAACTGAAGGAGCTAAGCTGCAGCTTCACGCTTCTGAGAATATAGAGCATGTTTAAGTTTTTTAATATACTATATTGGTAAGGGTATGACAAAATTAATAACTTCACAATTTTCTCAGCTCCAAGTGTTCGGGTAAAACAAGGTACTTCCACGTGAAGAAAGACAGGTGTGAGCAATCAGGTCATTTGACATCTGGGGAAAGTGGTTTTGGTGCAAGCTTTGCCCCAACTGGGGCCGGAGATCAAACCTACAGCCTAGGTATGTGCCTGGGCGAGGAACTGAACCTGCTACTTTTTGGTGTATGGACAATGCTCCTACCAACTTAGCCACCTGGCCAGGGTGCAGCATGTTGTTTAAAGTCATTATGACCCTTTCACACACACATGCTGAGAGCCTGCGTGTGCCAGGCTCTGTTCTGGGCACTGGAGACACAACACTGAGAGGTCTTTCTGCCCCTGTGAGGCAGCTGTTCTAGTGGGAGACGAAGTAACTCAGTGAACCAGTTCTAGGACAAAGATGAAAAGGGCTAGGGGTTGGGGGGTGGGAGGAGCTGCGATTCTAAATGGGGTGATGGAAGAGGCTTAGGACAGGAGGACACCGGGGTGAAGGGCACTCCCAGAAGGGGAAGCTGGGTGAAGCCCACTAGGACCTGGGGCTCACGGAACCTGCAGAGGCCAGAAAGCCAGGCAGGGTAGGGAGCTAAGGCCGAAGAGGTGCCAGGCCCAGCTGTGCAGGCCGCCATGAGTGTGTGGCTTTACTCAGAGTGAGTGGGAGCGTGGAAGGGGGTGGGCACAGGAGGAGCAGAGTCATATGCACAGACACAGGGCTGGGATCAGGGAGGCTACTACAGTGAGCTGGCTGCGAGACCAAGTGGGGCGGCCGGGTGGAAACACTGTGATGACAGCCACAGCAGGGTTTGCTGGCAAGTTCAGCACTGGGTGTGGAAGAGAAGGAACAAAGGATCTCTGACCCTGCAGTGGAAAGGGCAGAGTTGCCACTGAGAAGGTAAAAAGACTGCAGAGGGCACAACTGTGTGGAGTTCAGCACCTGACACATGAATTTGGGATCTCATGTCAACCTGGAGGGAAGCCTGCTTGGCAGTGCACAGACTGCTCTGGAGTGCAGGGAGGCCGGCTGGAAGAGAGCAGCTGGTAGCTGTTCTGCGCACAGAAGTGTCCGGATTTCATGAGCTGGCAAGGTCCCTGGGGACCTGGGGTCAGAAGACGGACAGGAGGGGGAGCTGGCAGCAAAGGAGAAAAACCCCAGAGCCAAGAGCTGGTATAAACAGTAACTCACAACTATCCAATAGAAAATGCTTAGCCCGGCTGGGTGTGGCTCCACAGTTGAGCATCAACCTAGGATCCAGGAGATCGCGGTTTGATTCCCAGTCAGGGCACATGCCTGGGTTGCGGGCTCGATCCCCAGTCGGGGGCGTGCAGGAGGCAGCCGATCAATGACTCTCATCATTGATGTTTCTATCTCTCTCTCTCCCTCTCCCTTCCTCTCTCTGAAATCAATAAAAAGATATATTTAAACAAAAAAGGAAGAAAATGCTAACAGTTAAAGGAACTTTTAAAATAATTAAATGTGTACATATTTACAGAAGAGTCTGAAAAGAGTGACAACACACTCATAAGCAAACATGTTGACCTTGGGATGAAATTCTATGGAATGAGTGGAACAGAATGTGAGAGCACAGAGAAAAACCAACAACGGGCCCTTTCCAACAACTGAGGGAGTGCTTTTCCATTTTTTAAAAATTGCCAATGGGCCCTGGCAGGTGGCTCGGTTGGGGCATCGTCCTGTACATGAGAAGGTCGCGGGTTCAATTTCCAGTCAGGGCATGCATGAAAGGCCACAGATAGATGTTTCTCTTTCTCTCTCTCTTCCTTTCTCTTTAAAATCAATAAAATAAAAAAACACATCCTTGGGCAATGATTAAAAAAATTGCACAATAGTGGGTGTAGCCACGGTATTTAGATTCCACTGGAAACATTTTAAAGAGTAATATCATACTTTTATCTTTAAATGTCAATATTTACAGCACACTAGAAATTATACTCTATGCAAATCTTAAACTTAAAAGTCAGGAAAACACTGTCCCTGCCAACATGACCGGGGGGTTGGCACACTTTTTCTATAAAGGGCCAG